GAATGGTTTTTGCGCTATCTTGCAGACTATCTTAACATGCAATTAACATGGTGAAATTTACGAAGTGTCTTTGTGACCTTGAAAATTAAGTGAAGGTCACCAAAATCGACTGGGCCTTGCACTTTCCCTATAGTCTGCTTGCAGTGAAAACGTACCGATGAATTTCACTTTAAACAAAAAAGAAAATCAAATAATGTTTAAATCCAATTATGGTCCATGCAGGTACCAAAGGTACTGTAAGTACCTTCAGTTGCTGGTGATCTATAGCCTGTTCGTATCATCATGTATAGTTAAAATATTTAAGATTAAACTACTAGTTTTAAATCAATATATGTGATAATCTAGTTGTTTTACTATCCTTCGTTGGCAGATGTTTATAATATAACTTTAATTATTATAAATCTATAACTTAATTTAGTCACGATATGGCTGAAATATTGCCTATGAGGCTATAAATTTTAACTCACTCACTCACTATCACAGTGCACAAGACCAAAACAGAAGGGTAACATCAGATTCCAGAAAGGATTTTCAATTTCCCACCAAGAGTATCCAACCTGTGTTGTATGACATTGTGAAGGCCAACAACACAAGGTACAAGGTGGACATTGCCCTACAATCACATGGACATGTATATTTATTCGCTAATTCATCTTTACGATTTTTCAGCAAACAGACCATAGAGCTCCATGCTTGGTGACAGATTAAATTGTTTGAAGCCTTCTCACGTTGACTATATAGTGCCTTGACACGGTCTTAAACGTGTTTCTATCCCTGTTACGGTCAAGACTTAATATTCAATTGGTATCTGAGTGTAGATATTGTTAAGTGGCCTCTTATAATGTACGTGAGACACGTGAACACCTGGGCCCTTATTCCCGAAACGTTCGTAGCCAATGTGTTAAGAATGGGCTGAAGAAGTTTGTAGGGCTACAAACCTTTCGAGAATAGCTAGCCTGGTATCATGACAATGGGATAGTTATCAATAATCATATGCTCATGATATAGTCGGAATTGTACAATCGATTCTGCTTTTAGTAGACATTTCTTATAGACATTAAAAGGGTTTTCTTGATTTTCAGGACTGGTAACGTTGTAGAAGGAAACCGTAAGTGCACGTGAATCCTTTATTAATGGAGCACAAATTATATGGATAATAAAAAATAACTATAAAATGGTCTCCTATAGTACAAACAGCAACACAACAAATGCCAAGGTTATATGTACAGATAACACAATGTGATATATAAACAGTAACAAACATCACTACCATAGTCATACAACGGAAATGGCAGGAAAGGTTCCCATTCCAGAGAGATTACAAGAATGTCTGAAAGGCAGACGAAGCAATGAACCATTGCACACGCAATGAAAAAGAGGCAACTTTGCCAAGCTTACCAATTTTTGCAATTAACTTCTGACAGGACTGAAAGTCATATTCAGCCACCTGACACGCTCTTACTGCCAAGAGTACAAACAGCAACACATTAAATGCCAGGATTTGTGTACAGATAACACAGTGTGATATGAAAACAATAACAATCGTAACCCTACCATAGTCATACAATGGAAATGACATCAAAACTCAGGAGAGACATTAAAAGAGGTTACTTTTCTAAGACTCAAATATAATCAGTACGTAAGTCCCAAAACTTTCAAAGTTTAATTTAAGATTACCAGATTTTTAAACGTAGTATTTTTGTTCTTTTAAAATTCGGCTAAACTTTTCCTACAATCGCCAGCAGCTGAAGGGATGGTGTAAATCCAAATAGGGTCCATGCAGGTAGCAAAGGCACTGTAAGTCCCCATGGTCCCTAGTATGGTGATCTACCTTCTGTTGTTGGCAATCTATATCCCGTGTTTTATATTGTATCGTCCTCTCTAGTTAAAGTTTTTTTAGATTCCATTACCAGTTTTAAATATATCTGTGATAGTCTAGTCTCGCTCACTCACTGAAATATAATCAACTCAACAGGGAGTTGAGTTGAGTTGGGTTTTGCGTCACATCGGCATTATTCCAGCCATATAGTGACGAGAACAAGTTTGCATTAATAAACATTGTAAGTACATACTCGGAATGAGTTTTATTTCAAAACATATATTCATTACATTGTCATTTAAAAGCAGAAAAAGCCATAGCATCAAATTTAAAGGCAGGCAATTTGTTAGTCACATTTCACAGTTACAATTTATGATAGTCACATTTCACAGTTACAATTTATGCTACAGATCAACTTCCCTCAGGTAGTTCACTATCAGATGAGCGCTCACGCGGGAGAACAGATCTTTCAGGTTTGTTGCATCATAATGTGAGTCCCTTGCAGACGATAAGTCCACGCATTCAAGCAGAATATGCTTGATGGTGAAAACCTCATCGCAAGAGACACACATTGGGGTCCATCCCCATCCGTTTTCAGCAGATAGTCATGAGTAAACCGACTGTGGCCAATACGACATCGTCGTAAAATTACCTCATCACGTCTTGACTGACAACCCAAGTAGGTATAACCAATTGTTGGTTTCAATTCATACAGTTTATTTCTTCCTACTTGAGTGTCCCATCGTTTTTGCATGAGGTCCCGAGTATAGCTTTTGATAGTGGGTTTGAAATCACTGTACGGGATCAGCAGTGGAGATAAGGGCTTGTCAAGAGCTGCTTTTGCTGCAGCATCGGCTTTTGTGTTACCTGCTATGCCGACGTGACCCGGCAACCAGCAGAGGACGATGTCACATTGGCCAGTAGAGAGGTCGTTGTAAAGTTCTAAAATGTCCAGAATGATTGGATGACTTGAAGTAACATTTTGAAGTGCTTGAAGGCAAGATAATGAATCTGTGAAAACGATGAAGTTTTTGGAATGATTCTGCTGTTTAATACAGGTCAAAGCTGAAAAGATAGCTTTGGCCTCGGCAGTGAAAATGGAACTGTTGTCGGGAATCCTAGAGGAAACAGTCTTAGATCCAATGACTGTAGCACTGGCAACTTGGCCCTCATCCTTGGATCCGTCTGTGAAAATGGATCTATGGGTGTCATACTTGGAACGTAACTGGATGTATTCCTGCTGGAACACCAAGGGATTTGTTTCAGACTTTTTGAATTTAGTGAGGGTAAGATCGACCTGTGGTTTCACCATCTGCCAGGGTGGTGAAGACAGGAGTCGGTAAGGTGCTATGCTATTGAGATCAATTTTAGCTACAGATATGTGTGGTTGAATTCTGATTCCAAGTGGTGGAACCAGGCTTGGCAGTTTAGGAAACAAGTTTTCAGAGAGAGGGTTGAAAACACAATTGTATGCTGGATTGGACTGATTTGAACGTAGTTTAGTGATATACTGCTGTGAAAGTTTAATGCGGCGTTGTTCAAGGGAAGGTTCGTTAGCCTCTGCATATAGACTGTGTACCGGAGAGGTCCTAAAAGCTCCCAGGCAGAGCCTCAGGCCTTGGTGGTGGATAGAATCTAATTTTTCTAAATTGCTTTTGCACTCAAGAGGGAAATGCAGTTTTGCAGTTACCTTCTGATAGGTTTGAAAGTTAAATTCAACCACCTGATCCGTATTAACTTCCCAGATGGCTGTTAGGGAAAAGCCATTGTTTTGCAGACAAATTCTAATTTAAGATAAAGTAGACCGAATGAGACATGTTTAAAACAATTGGTAACAAAGTATATGTTCTTTGCTAAACATATTACATGTAAATCACAAGACTTTTCAAAACAAATGAAGTGCCAGAGACTTTTCTGTACAACTGCCCATTCATCTCCATTGGTAAGTGGTGATTCTCAAGTTAATCAACAGATTCTCAATTAAACCATAGGTTAACCAGAAATCAGTCTGTGAAAGAATTGGATGTAAAACTGTCAATCGACAAAGAAATGTAATATAACTGAAACTGTACTTTGACAGTAACAAATTTACAAATCTCTACAAAACACTTCAAGGAAAGTACAATGACAGTACAAAATAATGTGATAGTACATATTTAGTGACATTACAAACACAGTGGCAATATGATAAAAAAAACACAGTGAATACAACAATAAAGACAGTGATGATGATATTCACCAATTCAATTTCTTCTAAATTCTTCTCAAATAAGTTATGCTGGAAAGGGCTATGCGGTTTTGATGCCTTCTAGTACCTTCCAGAGGTCTCAGTCTAATAAAATAACTATTACAATTAGAATGAATAAAGTTATATATTTTGCTGTGTTGCCACAGGAACATACGAAACAAAACACTCCTTCGAATGTTATATCCGTTCACCAGTTCCACTTTTACATGTTTCTCTATTGTTTTTGCCTATCATGCAGTTACATATTTGCAGCCCTTTGGAATAAAGGTGTTAGACCATTCAACGTCTCCCTTTCGCTATCGTGACAAATTTTCCAACACATTTAATAGTGAGTGAGTTTAGTTTTACGACACATTCAGCAATATTCTAGCTATATGGCAGCGGTCTGTAAATAATCAGGCAATCAAGTGGTCAACGGTATGAGCATCGATCTGCGCAATTGGGAACCGATGGCATGTGTCAACTAAGCCAGCGAGCCTCGCCACCCAATCCCGTTAGTCTCCTCTTACGACAAGCATGGGTTACTGAAGGCCAATTCTAACTCGGACTTTCACGGGTCTTTTATTAATAAATGGATTTCGTGATAAATAGGACCGAAACATAACAACACATTGTATGTCAAACAACACGCTTCAAAAATTAATTGTCAGAGACAAAAATTGAATCCATAAATGACCTATACAATTGCCCATAAAACGAAATAAGCCCACTGACATTTAACAGAACGACTACAGATAGTCCTGTGGTCGTGAAATGACTATATGTTCTGCCTAGTTTCTCCTATAAAGCCTTATGGAAGGTGTTTAAGAGTATAAACTCATTCAACATTAGTGTTAGTAATACAATCATTGTCCCATATGAGACAAGAAAACATCTCTGTTGGCCTTGGTCATCAAAGTTATGAAGATCACGTGCTGCTCTCGAGTGTTTCGACTATGACACCCACTCCATCATACTAACAGAGACGTCGCCCCAAAATACAAAGTGGTCAGGCTTTGCTCCAGCGTCTCTCTCCGTGAAGTGGTGAATGATGGCACCATCGATGATTAACTGGAATAAACAGACCATTACCTTATTTTAGTGTTAATGCTTTACCCAAGCACCCAATATACAACGTACAATAATTACAAATTGTCACGCACTGGAATATCAAATGGAACTGTGATGTATTCCATATTGTTCTCGGGTTACTTTCACTGATATACATACCCTAATAAACCGGTTTGCAATTTACATTCCATGTGTAAATCCTCTAGACCTTTAAGTTTCTATTTTAACCATGTACATATCCTTTATGTTTGTCATTTACATTCCATACATACCTCGTATACTCCATCTTGGAGGGTTATTTGAATCTCCATTGTTTTTCCAACAGCCATTGCTAGATCGAAACGCTCCTCTGTCCCCCAAACATCATCTTTCACTGTGTTCATAACGATCACGTTGCTGTCCCTATTGTAGCCTAAGCGAAACTCTAAGAAGAATAATGTGTCGGCTTGTTTCTCAATCCTGATACCCCATCTGCAATGAATGATAAAAGAAATGAAACAGTTCATATCTGTACACTAGTTCAACAACTTAATATAACACATTTCGTTCATGATCAAGCAGGAAATTGTTCAGCAATGTCCATAAACACAAATGTTCATGTATTTATGATAGCCTTACGTTCGGTTTCGGTCAAATTTACAGACCACAGTTGAAATATAACTAAATATGTTAATAATTTAATCATTTAATTATTTTATCATTTAATTCCAAGTGTCAACACTCTTTACCTTGTAGCTTCTGTCCCTGTCCCAATCATTATCAACTGGAACTTGATTGATGGGCCACACGGAATTGAATAAACGCCTTTAATCTGCAGCATGTATACCAGCACATTTCATAATTCACTGTTTCACATGGACAGATGTGATTTTGTTGTGTAAGATTACTTGTGGGGGACTAAGCCTGATTCAATTATATTAAATATATTCGATATATTTTGTCAAAGATTATCGGAATTACTTGATCTGGAAAATAGAAATCATACTGATATATAATCCTATGTGTTGTGTTTAGACAAGAAAATCCAAGGCACCGACTAAAGATCAGTTATATATGTTGCTGGGTACCAGTCTAACAAGGAATCCGCACTAGGAGGTGGCAGGGTTGGCGGTGTTTAGTGCCTGTGTGAAAGGCGTACCACGTCTGTGCAAGATCCTTAAACAGACCGACCAAAATAACATCTTACCGGATCGTGCCACCTGAACTGTCCACAAAGACCGGCTAAACTCTCCCACGCTCCAGATGACTGACAGGTGCTGGTGACATTGTTGTGGCAGGTTCTGTAGTCAGGGTCACAGAAGTAGGTCGCCACCGCTCCCTGGTAGTGACCGTCATACGTGGTGTTGGCGCCATTCACTTCCGGCGGTTGACCACAACCCTTGAACTCTTCACACAAAATGTCACGTCGCTTTTAACTTTGAATCTAAGTCGTGTTTTGGGAAATACATCCTCTCATCATGCATGTATTCCACCTAATATATCAGCTTGACTAGAAATCAAGGCAGCAAAACACCACGTCCTGAAGTAAATGATTCAAATAGCATTCCAAAGTTTACACTCCAAGAATGTTAAACGGGCGCAGAACAGCACAAGGAGATGTTCACGCTTACACCTTTGTTTCGATGAAACATAGCAGCTTTACCATTCTACTCATGTTCGATGTCTTTACAATGCATCTGTATGTTGCCTCAACAATTGCTTGTCTAAAATGTCGTTAAATTGCACAAAATTTAACTTACTTATGTCAATTTATCGGGAACGCAACAAGGCAATCAGTTTAAATCATGTACAGTAACGCCAACTGAAACTTTGCAAAACTATCCTCCTACTTGCATAGGAATGTATGTTAAATGTATTTGAGACACTGGAAGAACATTGGTTACCTGGAACACACCTTGCCAGACCAAGTCGAGTAACTTCACAGCGGTTGTTGTTGGGACATATCCGTTGAGCGCATCGACCAGCGAGAGACTAAGAACAAAAGAATCCATACACAAAATATACTTCTAAATAAAAGAAACTCATAGCTTAAATTCGCCATATATTTATGCATGTAGGATTGAGTGATACAGGACAGTGATAAAGAAAACACTGTTAAACTGAAGTAGAGGTGGGACGTAACAAATGGCGTACAGAAAGGTCAAGGTCACGGAGCAGTCAATATCTTGTGTGACCACCATCAGCATCAATGGTTGCCTGGCATCGGCGTCCCATAGATTGGATTCCGGATGAAATGTCTATGAATGTTATGACATTCTTCCCGCAAAGCAAAAACAAAGCAGCTAAGGTCTGCGGCTAAGGATTACGCTGTATTACACGTCGATCCGGTTCTTCCCACAAATATTCAACTGGGTTCAGTTCTGGTTATCGGGAGGGCCATTCAAGGACCTGAACGTTGTGCTGAGCAAGAAAATATCTTGTTATTCTTGATGTATGCGGTCGAGCATTGTCATGCTGATACTGACGTTCTGACGGTTCATGAATGGAATAAAATGATGCCTTATGATTTCATCACAGTACATTAGGGGTTATGACAACACTGAAAGAGTCTGCACACAAAGCTGACTCCAAGGTTTTCACACCCAGTCACATGTGGGCTCGATCCCGACACCTCAAGCACGCTGGATCACTAGCCAGGCATCATAGCCATTGCTCCCCTTGTCCTCCAAAACTTTTGGCGTCACTGTTATGGACAATGACTAAAACGTCCAATGCAGATAGACAATCCATAGGCTGTGGCGTTTTCAGCTCTACTGTGGTTTGTTTAACTCGCTATTTCTAATCTCCTGGATTAATGGTAAGCTCTGGAATAATTTAACATTTAACGATGTAACTGTGCATCAGTTTCCTGCATGAAAGAATTTAGATTTCCTTTAGGTGGTTTTTTGGGGGGGTCTTGAGGCTTTAAGAAGATTCTACTTGTACCTCTACACAAGATAAATTTAGAACACTTGACATTTGTACCGATTTTATCAAGAGAATGACTTAATGTTTATACCTTCAAGAAACTAGAAAACGTTTATTAAGATAAATATGCCAGACATTCAGAAGCCACTGAGGTAACATGGGGTTGGCAGCATGGCAACAACATAACGCCCTTAAACGAGAAGGCCTGAAATTCAAGAAAAACGTCTACTGTGAACACCAACCTTTGGCCAGTGTTGAATATCACTGAAGAGGAATCCCGTTCTGTCAACAACGTTAGCAGTATCACTACTGTTACTGTATAGTAGGCAGGTGCGTGTTTTCTTCTCAAATCCAAAGGACAGACATGCTGAGGACATCAGACATTCTGATGCACAGGTGTAGAGAGACTGACTCCAGAACTTTCTGAACACCTGGTGCTCCATGTACTTGTCGTTCCGAACTACAGTATCAACGTCCAAACAGTTGTCACCACTGACTAACTTCGTGATTCCTAAAATTAGCAAAACAACTTCTCTCCGGTAAGACCACATTTTCACCACCTGGACCTTCAACTGTCAAGTTGCTACTTTCACTCCTTATTTCTGTTGAGTCTTTTTAACCCTGCCACCGCCTGTTCATAACACGCATTCAGGTTTAATGTTTAAGCTTGGAACATCGGTACATCAATAGTAATCACATCTGTTCATATAAAATGTATTCTATTGAAGTTAATTGAAATCTCAAAGCTCTCATAAAACCAATCCACTCGACAAATAATGCATTTATTATTTAACAAGTCAGTTAATTTGAACAAACAAAGTAGACTGTAAATAATCAATCGACAGGTGCGTGGCTTCCTCCAGCGGTTGTAGTGCATGAGACAAATGTCTTGGGGACAAACATACAGTTATGGCTGAAATACTGCCCATCTGACTTTACAATTTAAATCACTTCATTTTTCATCACAAGGTATCTTGGTAATGACAAAAATAACACAAAGATGTTTACTGTACGGAGAGCAAATATAACATACCTTAAAGTAATCTAGGGTAAGTGATAAAAATAATTACTACGGTAATGATTTTAAAACAGTCGTAAAGTGGTATTTTTATAGAGAGTTTATACACATAACTCCTAAACATAAAACACAGTGTGATATCAACACAATAACAACATACAACTACCATCATCATGAAATATAAATGACACCAAAGTCTCTTAATGGGTAACCCCATGGTCCCTAGTATGGTGATCTACCTTCAGTTGTTGGCAATATATAGCCGGTTTTTATATTGTATTGTCATTTATTGGTAAAATATTTTAGATTTAATTACTAGTCTTATATGTATTCCTGTGATAATCTAGTTGTTTTACTGTCCATCGTCGACAGGTGATTTATAATGTAATTGTGTTTATTGTTAATTTATAACTTTTTAAGTCACAATATGGCTGGAATATTGCCGATGTGACTATAAATTTTAACTCACTCACTCACTCACTCAGTTGCTGGCGATCTATAGCCCATTTATATATTGTGTTGTCAATAACAGTTTACTATTTTAAATGCTCCAAACTAGTTTCAAATAAAATGTGATATAGTAGTTGTTATACTGTCTTTTGACGACAGGATTTTATATGGTTTAAATATGTTTCATACATTTGTTATTGATGTATGCGGTTCTCTCGTCAATGTGACGATAAATTGTAACTCACTCACTCACTTAATTGATAAGACCCGTGAAGATCCGGGTTAGAATTGGTCTTCAGTAACCCATACTTGTCGTTAAGGGGCGACTGATGGGGTCGGCCGGTCAGGCTCGCTGACTTGGTTGACACATGTGATTGTATCCCAATTGCGCTGAACGATGCTCATGCTGTTGATTAAGGGATTGTCAAGTCCAGATTCGATCATTTACAGATTGCCGTCATATAGCTGGAATATGGCTGAGTGCGGCGTTAAACAACAACCACACCAAACTCCATTGAATAAAGATTAGAGGCATGGCCGTTACTGAATCAATGATCCATTACACATCCCTTCTCGGTTTATCCAAGGTTACTTACTCTACTTACATTTTCCCGTCGTATCCGCATTGTTTCGGCCTTTTAGCGACAGCTTATTTTGATTTCACACTCGTAGAAATGAATTATTTTGAATTTGCAGTATAGTTTTTAGTGTTGGTTAATTTTGCATACAATCGCCAGCAGCTGTAAAATCGGCTGGGGAACTGTGCAAGAAGCCAAAGTATGCATATACATAGTCTATAGCTCAATATATTTTATGTTGTTGAATAGTGATTTAGCATTTTAAAATGATCTCTGAATAGATTATATTATTATCTGTGACTATCTAGTTGTTACACTTTGATTACACAATGCCATTTAGAATGTGGTCAAATGTTACTTTACTAGGAAAGTGTAATCACAAATATAACATATGTTATAGTTGCTATACTGTTCCTCGATGACATCTTTTTAAAAATTATATCTATCTCAGTATATGACTGTTTGTCGTCACGATATCGCTGTGATATTGCCTACGTAAACGTTTAGTGAGTGAGCCTTATCGTGACTAAAACAAGTTCTAAATAAGTGTTGAATACATATATAATTATAAAATCACAAATTACTTATTTTTAAACAAAATGGTAAGCTTGAATTTACTGTGAATGTTTTAGGATTAAGTACTCAAACAGGAAGACAATAGGTTTAATATACTTCAAACCCTTGTAAGGATACAGCCACTAACAATCTCAGTGGCTAACTTGAACTACCAATGACAAAACATTTATCAATTTACAACATATTTATCAAAATTTATTCAACACTTCTATATATTCTAAAATGCAATAATCAAATGAGAATTAACATTAAAAACATGCTTTTTGATATTTGAAATTGAAATATTTATCCCATGTGATGGAAAAATCGATACAGCAAGCCATGCTTGACCGTGATTCTTTCATCACTGGGGATACAAAACGGAGGATCTTCAATCTTTGATAAATACTGATGAATATATCTTAATCACAAAATAACCTCTTCAAATCTGGACTGACAACCCAAGTAGGTGTAACTGATATTTGGTTTCATCTAGTGTAATTTATACCTACTTGGGTGTCCCCCTTCCGTTGCGTCAGATATGATATAAGAAGTGGTGTCACAGACTTGTTGAGTGCCGCCTTAGCAGGAAACTCGGCTATTGTTACCAGAAATGCCAACGCTCTGACTAACCAACAGAGGACTTGCCAGTAGCAAGATCATTATGTGATGCAAGTATTTGATTATGAGTGGATGTTGACAAGACAAAACTGTAATAGCCTGAAGGCACGAAAGCAAATCAGAAAATAGTATATATTGTTGATATTCAGAGTATTCATTAATACGTGAAATATTAAAGTCATCAGCTCAACAATAGTATCAGTCAAAACCTTTGCAAGTCCATTTATTTATCGCAATACTAAAAAGAGTAACTGATACAATGCTTCCTTCGAGACTCCCATTTCCTGATCAAATACATCAGAAAATGTGGAACCTACTCTCAAAGACCCGTATCATTATACCATACTTCAATGTCTTATCATAGGCTTTCTATAGGGGAAACAAACAAAAAATGACTTTCGCCAGACAGTTATTCTTATGTGAATTGTGCAAGGTGCGAGTTGAAGCTGAAAGTTGTAACAAACATTGTTTGTGATGCCATAACGACCAACAATTAGCCTAGAACTAAGGCTAACCTTGTTTTCTATTCAAATTAATGTTATTGTCTAGCGTGTGTAATGATGAATGGTTTAGTTATTGCTGCCCTTGTTACATTTGTTGTAACATGCACTTTACTCATAAATCTTTGTTGCTAGTATTTAGCATACAATAAGTACTCTGATAGTCTTGACCAAAACATCCATCATAATATATCTGACTATCTTATATTACACACACAAACAAAACATAAACGAAGAAGGAAATAAACAGAACAATTAAAAATAATGTTCGATGCAATTTCCTATTTTGACTTGTACCATACGTTCCCGAAAAATTTCAGGTGAACAATTAACTAGACTTGGCATATGTTTATGGGGCAGGATACGCTTACCTTTTCGCGAAAGCTTTGTATCATCACTATTTTATAGTGATTCATAAACACATACTCTGCCATCCTATCGCTTGGTGACAATCACTGGATTGTCTGGTTTAGACTCGATTTCTTTTCAAACAACATCACAGAGCTGTAATGCTGCTGAAACAACTACATTAAACGCCAAAAGAAACGTTACCCTCCTATCTTTATGAATTACTTAAAAACTATCAAAGATATGTTAGAAGGTATTAGTTCACAAGAAAGTGAAAAACACATCCTTACGCAAGTCACGAAAAAAATTCCCAAATGCATTCATATTTACAGTCCGTTTGAGTCCGAAACGGACCGATGAATTGCAAATTTTATCATTGTACAAAATTGCCACATAAATATAAATAGTACACATGTTTATTATTTGCTAATACCCAACAGCTTTCTTATATTTGAAAATTTTCCGGACTCCACCAAAAAAGTTGTTTAAGAAACTATCATCATTGAAAACGCAAAAGTTGTTATCTGTCGCGGCGGGACGAAACCGCAGAAACGGAACAGCCACTATCTCGTCGTGCACGATATACACATGCCTGATGAAATATGAAGTTGAATGCTGACGTGAAACAGTTGATGATTAAAGTGTACGATTTTTTCAGTGCTGAAGCCGAAAGGGGCAAACCATTTTATGCCATTAATAAATTCCGTAAGTGGTCAGCAAAAGCTTTAGGAGTATCAGCAAGGGTACTGACAAATGTTCTGGAACACAAACATTGCGAGGGTGATGCGAAGCAGGTAGGGGGTCGTGTCAAAATCACACAAATTAAAACATTCGGACAACTTTCAAAGATGCAATACAATCACTGTCTCATATGGAATCACTGTCTCTATAAAGGATTTTTTTTTATAATGAAAATTATCATTAATAATTGTTGTTGTATTCTAAGGAAATAGAAATACAAGATAAATTTTGAACTATATGTTTTGTAAATATATAAATAGTATCTTTAAATGGTATTTTAAGTTAGCAACTCTGATTGTTATTGGCGGTATCCTCAAGGGAGGTTGAAGTACCGTATAATTATTGTCCTCCTGAGAGGATACATAAGTCCCAAAACATTCGAAGTATCCACCACATTGTAATTGTAGTATTATTGTCATTTTATTTTGTGGGTACTGTAAGTACCTTCAGTTGCTGGTGATCTATAGCCTGTTTGCATCATCATGTATAGGTAAAATATTTAAGATTAAATTACTAGTTGTTTTACTATCCTTCGTTGGCAGATATGTATAATATAAATCTATAACTTAATCTATAACTTAATTTAGTCACGATATGGCTGAAATATTGCCTATGAGGCTATACATTTTAAC